ACTTACTTATGATCAATCTTATAAAATTGCATTTCTGTTAAAACTTTTAAACATTCCTCAGGAGTGTAAAAAAATTATCATCATTATTGTTACGAATAGATCATTACGATGAGGCATTAATTTAAAAAAGTAAATGTATAAAATGGACATTCTTAATTTTTTTTTTATTTGCAACCGCTCACTGTTTCGGAGGCATGTAAAATATCAAATAATTTTTCTCTCGCATTATTTTTTGTTAAAACCATCATTCATGAAGTCATACATTTAATGCGTTTCTGAGTATCCCCGTCAAGACTTTCGTTTTTGTCTTCTTCTGCACTAATCATTCAAAATCAGTCATTAGCTCCTCTGAGTAGACAGGTGCTTTTATGGATGGGCCATAAACGGACCGCGTTAAGCAAAAAGGAACCAAGCCACATCATCTATTGCCAAATTTAATCGGGCAATTTAACTTTTTACATGGAAACGGTTGTGCGGATTTTTATGCAAATTTTAGTGAATTTTCTGCATAATACGAAGCGAATTCCTTGATATTTTCGAAGAAATCCGCACAAGCGTTCTCTTGTAAAAAATTAAATAGCCTGATTAAATTTGGAAATAGCAGATGTGGCTTGGTTCCTTTCTGCTAAACGCGGTCCAAATAGTAGTTCAAATTGGATTGCATTTTGCAAAAAGGAACCACAAGCCTTCCGATATCGTTTAGATTGTGCAACATTTTCACCGTACAAATAGAAACTGATCATCTAGACAAGTTTCATCTTCATTCCCACTAAATCATAAATTAAGGCGAAAATTATATTCGTAGATTTAATTTTCATCATGATTTCTGTAATGTTTTGCAAAGAATATAAGTTGCACAAATTTAGCAACATTGAGATGCTCTTGGTTCCTTTTTGCAAAATGCAATCCAATTGCAATATGTAGTCCATCGGTCCACTGACTTATTTTAAAAAACAACGTATGTGCCATTAGTTTCCGATTGCAGATAAGTGCTTTTATGGATAAGCCAAAAAAATCACTGCTCATTGAAAAAAAAATGGGCCTATTGTTCTTTCCCCTGAGAAATTCACTCGAATGCTCATGTGTTCTTTCAGAACTACGCGGTTCAAATATCGTTAGAATTAGGAAATTCTTGGTATACGGAAAAAAAATAACCGGGTCTTTTTTGTTTCAGGTCTTCGCTGTCCTCGCCTGCTTGATCGCAGCCGCCGCCGCCGGCGCCCCTTACGCCTCCTACCTGGGCCCCTCCACCCTCGTGAGGGCACCCCAGTTCGACAGCGCCGTCGTGAGCCACGAGCGCCTGGGCGGCAACTTCGCCTACAAGAGCGTCGAGGCCCCCGCCTACGCCCAGGTCGCCCCCGTCATCA